TTTGTGTTTTTGAAACCATTAGTGAAAAGGCCAGACTTCAGGGGTATCTGAGGCAGGCTTGAAACACAAGAGTCAGGGTGGCTTCTGGGTAATACCAGATGGCTAGGCCTCAGACTGACGAAGCCTCTTGGATGAGGGGCGAAACGTTTCTTTTTTAACAAAAAAACGAAGTCCAGATGACATGATTCAACCTTTTTTGATGTTATATACCTGGATGACTGAGAAAACAAACTTTGCACTTTAAAAGTTCTTTTTTTTTATTTATTAGGGAACATCAAGGTTAAAAAACACCAATAGTTACCCTGAACCTTTCAGAATAAATTTAGACAAAGTGGGATTATTTGTCTCTCCCAGATGAGCAGAGGAGTAAAATTCTGCTCAAATTAAAAAGCAGCTTCTTTAGTGGTTGCATCAAGAAGATGCTCCAGTTTCCTTTATTCCTCCACTGGGGGGAGGTGCTGAGAAGCACGAGCCTCTGGTCCCACAATGGAATAATTCTGTTTGCACAGACAAAAGGGACGACTTTATCTCAGCCTCCGATGATTTTATTGGCCTTAAGAGCGTTTAACAGTCTTGTACTGACTTCAAAGCAATAAATAAGATTAAAGCCTACACTGTTGAAACAAAACACGCTTGGGGGGCTGTGTATTACCACTGGGTGTTTAGCTGTAATCCCACTAGTTGAACCCATTAATACATTGAACAACATCAGGGGGCTGCAGTGGCTCCATGGTCAGTGCCACGCTCTTGTATTCCTGGGGTTGCAGGTTTGAATCCAGGTTGTATCGGGGAAGGGCATCTGGCCTCAAACAAACGCCAAATCTTTCATGTGAGAGGTGACCCCTGAAGAAAGAAGCAGCTGAAATAAAAGCGGCACTGAACACCCATCGTAACGACGCTCCCGGCAGATGCAGCGGAGTTGGACTTGTCCTTCTGACCTCCTGATGACGTCACCAGTCGGTCTCATCAAGCAGCTTGAAGAAACAGAAAGACGCATCGAAGAGAAGCAACAAACGGTGAAATGTAAACTAATACAAAGTATAGAAATGATGGAGTTTTGTGTCAAACTGGGATCGAAACAATCTGATTCTCTTTATTTTATGGAGTGACGCTGCCTCTGAATCCCAGAGTGAGCTGCTGCCTGGTGGAATTCAAGACATAACAGGTCAGACATCATTTTATTAATCCTTGTAGATGAAAGTCTAATTTAACTAGAAAACAAACAAGTTTACTGAAATATTTAACTAGATTTGATTTTAAACCATCATTTTTGTCTCGAATGTAATAAATCTGTCCGTTAGCAGCAGCTTGAGCAGAGAGCCACCTCTTCCTGCTCCTCTGGGAGGAAAACGAGGCCTGCAGACCAGCCGAGATGGGTCTTCCCCGGGGTCTCCTCCCAGTCAGACATGCCTCTCTGGGGAGGGGGGCACCTGAACCACCTCAACTGGCTCCTCTCAGTTCAGCGTAAATGTAATCTATTCTTTAAAATATATATATGCAAAGATTTATCAATTTAATCTGGAGTTTATGATAAACAACTATAAATCCTAAACCTGCAGGGTGGAAAAGTAATACAAGACAAAATAAATCAGCGGTTTTGATGTTTTTACTAAAAGCAGCTGCCTTGATCTAACGCTTCAGTGAGTCACATCAGGCAGGAACTGACGGAAAAATGACGGCAGTGATTGTTTTTAGGATTTTGCACCATGGCCCCCCACACTCACTCACATCACCAGTAACAAAGACTGATCTTAAAGGAAAAATGTTGAATCCTAATCTGGTATTTGATTTGAAATTAGATGTCCCGACAATAATAAGCATGATCTTTGTTGCTGTAATTCACAAAAATTGAGGGAAAGAATTGGCCTGTGATGCAAAAGATCCTAATGGAAGTTTGCACATAAAAAGAAAAGTTGATGGTGAATTGTTCTTTACAGTAAAATATCCTTTTTACATTGCCTGTTTGAAATGAGCTCAAACGTTGTAGAAATGATGAAAAATTAAAGTGGTTGCATCTTTTGGACATTTCTAGATCAAAACAAACGTCTGCTTGAGCCGTTTCTGAGTCAGATGTGCGGTCAGAAGGGATTAAATCCACGGAGCGTCAGACACCTAACAGGTTGTGTTTTCATCTGGGGGTTAAATGCCACCCCTCCTCTCCCATGGAGCCTGTTGTTTGCTGCTGCTGTACAGCCTGCGGCCGGGACAACGCCTTGGAGCCAAATGATTACATCAAGGTCATGGAGAGGAGGAATGTCCTCCGATTGGTGGAAGGAGGGGCAGCCTGCACTTTTCATCGAATGGCTGCGAAATTCAGAATGGGATGTGGCCGACTTGTTCGGCCTGTAAATAGATCTGAAACTCCTCAAAAGATTAGAGCGTTTAGGATTTAGGTTAATTAAATGGGCTTGATTTGTACAACATTATAAAATGGAGCCCACTGCATCTCCTTCAGACACAGGAGTTGACCCTTTCCCTGTTGGGAGGTAGTGACCAAAACGATGTGATCACAGATAAGTTTCTCCCCAGACTAGCTGGAGTGAGAAGTTCAGCTCACTGGGAGGAACTGGCCGCTGCTCCTCCACATCCAGAGGTGGTTCTGGCATCTGGATGCTCCCCTGGACGCCTCTCTTACCAGGCATGTCCAGCTGGGAGGAGGCCCAGGACTGTCTCTCAGCTGGCCTGGGAACGACTTAACTCTCCTGAAAGAGCTGGAAGAGTTGTCTGTGGAAAATGACTGGGCCCCCTGCTCAAGCTGCCCCCCCCACCCCCCACCCCCCCACCACCACCACCACCACTGAATGGATGAAGGAAGGAGAGAATTTCTGTAAAATATTAGTTGAAACTGCTTATTGCCTTATCCTGATTTGTCCAGAAACAGGATTCTAGTTTTGCTTTTTTTTTTTTCATTACAGTAATTAAATAAACTTTTACTTTGAAAATAATCCACATCAGCTCCATACAGTCCAAACATTTGGAAGAGCGTTAAAAAATGTCTAGTTGTATTCATCAATTTTTTATCTGATGTAAACAAATATATATATATGTATATATATTCAATATTATAAATATACTTCTTGAATGTACTTTTTCATTCAAGTTTTTTTCAGTGATATGACCAGTTTTGTTTATAATTATTCAAATTTTATTTTTAAACCAAACACACCTTTTTTTTTTTTTTTTTTATCTAGAGCATTCTGTGTTGGGTTTTATTTTGTTTGAACTGAGCACTTTTAAGATGAAGCAGAACTTTACTGAAACCTTAAAAAAAAAAAAAGTTTGACTAAATAAAAAAGTTGCTAGAACTTTTGTTTATTTTTGTAAGTTAGTAAACTAGAACTTGCATCATGACCACGTACAAGTTGTCTTGTTGAAATTAAACCTGCGGCTCTTGTGAAGTTAGTTTCAAACAACTTTTCACTTAAAGGTAAAAAAAAAAAAAAACACGCCCTTGTGTGGATTTGGTCACACTGATGCCCCAAAAATAAAAGCTATAAATTCCCTGAGCTTATGTACTTAATGGGGTATTATAATATTATTATATCTCGGGATAAAACGCATCATTCTGAAACGACAGTTTTTAGATTTCGGCCTGTTTTACACTAACTTCTGTGCGTAATTACGCACGGTTCATTAAGTTTAAACATCACTAACTTGTGGTTAATCCACAGAAATAAACTAAAGTCACACAGTCTGAGTCAGAATGAGGGGGAGGTTCGGAGACCCAGAGTCTGAGCTCAGAGGGGTGTGACCGCTCCAAAAGTCTCCCCCCTCAATGAAGCTACCTGTAGAGAGGAGGCTCCATAAATACTCCCCCTCCTCCTCCTGAGAGACACTTCAGTCCTGAAGGACACACAGAGACCAGCTCGAGTTCTCGGGGACCTTGTTCTGGTGGATTATGAACGCTTTTGGACACCAAGCAGCCCCCAGTCACCAGAGCAGCCCCATTCAGTCCCACAGCGCGCACGAGCTCATGGACATGGCGGTTTACTGCGACAACGTTTACCAGCAGAACTTCCACCACGCGCAGAGGCCGCCGGCTCCCCCCTCCACCTACGGCCTCGGAGACTTCACCCCCCCGTCCTCCAACCCCTACCTGTGGCTAAACGGAGCGGGCATCAACTCCTCTCCGTACCTGCCCGGAAACAACCACCGCGCGTCCTTCGGGCTCCAGTCCGCGTACGGCCCGAACCAGAGGCCGTACCTGGCGCCCCCCGGCGGCTTCGGGGGCTCCGACCTGAGCTGGCTGTCCTTACCCAGCCAGCAGGAGCTCTTCAAGATGGTCCGACCTCCGTACTCCTACTCTGCGCTCATCGCCATGGCCATCCAGCACGCGCAGGACAAGAAGCTGACCCTGAGTCAGATTTATCAGTACGTGGCTGACAACTTCCCGTTTTACAAGAAGAGCAAGGCTGGATGGCAGAACTCCATCCGGCACAACTTGTCACTCAACGACTGTTTCAAGAAGGTGGCGCGTGACGAGGACGACCCCGGTGAGTATTTTAATGAAACGTGGAATAAGTTGGGAGGGGGGGGGGGGGGAGAATTTTTTATTATTCACATTTTCCCCCCCGCAGGGGAAGGGGACTACTGGGCCCTGGGCCCCAACTGTGAGAAGATGTTCGACAACGGGAACTTCAGGCGCAAGAGGAAGAGGCGCGCGGAGGCGAGCGCAGCGGAGGACGGCGGCGCGCCCCCGGTCAAGCTGGAGGACAAGCAGCTGTCCTGCCCCGCCGGCCTCCTCGGCACCCCCCCGCCCAGCCTGCACGGCTCCCCGGCCTCCACCGAGCCCAAGTCGTCGCCGCCGCCCTCCGTGGAGCACAGCCCGTGTTTCAGCGGCTTCGTGTCCAGCATGAACTCTGTGCTGGGGGGCGGCGGGGAGCGGGACCCCCTCCAGCAGCAGGCGCAGGGCTCCTACTCCCCCACTTTGACCCCCGACAACAGCAGGATGAACTATTACGCGTCAGTGCAGAGTTTCTCCAACCGTGTGAATAACTTCATCTACAGCTGGGAGGGGACAGAAGTTTAAACTGCTGTGAATTAAAGTCGTTTTCTGCTCTAATGGAATTAAACAGCTCATTTCTCTGCTGCATGTTTTCACTGGGCCTTTTAAACAGTTTTTATTGAATAATACTCATTTGGAGTGACTTTTGTCTTGAAATGAAGACTTCAGTGTACAGAGATTATTTTCATAAGAAGAAATGGGACATGTTTGTGTAACTGGACGGTTTTATTTATACTTTGTTTGTGTGTGTGTGTGTTTTATAAAAGCCAATTATTCATTTTAGAATATGGGATCGTGTTTAAATTGCACAAATGTTTGATCTTGAATCTAAAACTTTTTAGTTTAAACATTAAAATGTGCAGGTTTTGTTGCCGCGATGAGACAAATGAACTAAATACTGCAAATTAAATTTAAGTTCAAGGTTCTAGTGTCATTCACATCACATTTGGTGAAGTTGTTTAGTTAAAGTTGTCCACTTTGCAGAAAATGTACTGAATATTTTACTGAATAAAGATTGTCCTAATGTGTTCATCTTACAAGTGCTTGAGGCCCTGGCCCCCTAATTTGTTTATTTATGTTATTTATTGCCTTTATGCTTTTTTATTTCCAAAATACTTAAAATTAGTTGATGCTCAGACTTTTTGGTGGGGCCAAAACTTTTTTTTATGTTTAATCAAGTTTACTGGAACCAGTTAACTAAATTAATTACCAGTAAATTTAACATTGACTTTTTTTAGGGAGCACGTTTGTTGTTTTTGGTGAGACTGGGTAATTTATTTTATTTATAGCTTGAAATTTTGTAACAAACTTAATATTTAGTAATTTTATTGATGTTTAGCAGAATTATCAACTTTTAATTCCCTGTTTATAGAAGTGACCATAAATTCAAAAAGCAGCTCATCTTTTTTTGGTATAATTTTAAGTTAAATTGTCTGTTTTAAATGTTTTGGACACCCCTTATGTGTGAAATTCAATTCAGCCCAAAAAACTTGAACAAATTTAGACTTTTTCTTATTTTAATAAAGTCAGGCCATGATGAATAAACCAGCTCGTACATCTGAGCTCCTGTCATGAAACCTGAATAAAAACATTTTGGCTGCATTGATCAGATAATTCACCTCCAACTTGTCTAGAAAATCAGCAAATTGCTGTTATTTTACCCCAAAAAGTCATATTGTTGCGTATCCTCAATTTCTCATGTGTGAATCTGCTGAAGGATGGAGAAAACAATTTAAAGCCCAGAATATTTAACCCTGCTAATAATATTTAATCATTTAACTGGTTTGTATTCTCCAACAATATGGTCAGGCACAGAACCGGATCCTGTAAACAAAAGGAAACACTTGTCAATTGGTTGATGGTTGAACTCACTCGGGTGCTCTTCAGTTTGGAACAAAGGGGGGAATTAATTGACAAGACTTTCGTGCTCCCGGCTGGAGCACAATAGAAGCTGGCAGTCCGAACGGATCCCCTCCTGGGCTCGAATGAAAATATTGCGATCTGAAAGATCTGGGAAAAAAAATGATTTCCCCCTCAGGTCACATTTGAACTATTATCTGCAGAGCAAGGCCACAGACGGGACAAAGAGGGACACAGTTCTCACACTAACAAGTTTTCTGTTGAAAGCCTCGTTTGGTGAATGGAGGCCTTTTAGGTCAGATTACTACCTGATGATCATCCAGTTCCTTACTCTGATCTATTAGTTTTTTATTGCATCAGGAGATAAGTGAATTATTCTATGCCTTAATGCAGTTACCGTATTTTTCAGACTATAAGGTGCACTTAAAATCCTTTATTTTCTCTAAAATCGACAGTGAGCCTTATAATCCGGTGCGCCTTATGTATTTATTCTAAGAGATTTCCTGTTATTTTCAAATATGTGAAGGATAGTACAAATACAAGCCATAAAACATCATGCTAGTAGTTTGTTAGCCACTTTAAGTCGACTTCCAGTCTCACGGCGTGAAGTTTCTCTCAAAACCACCAGAATGTTTTGGAATATCTTTAAGCGAAGCTGCTGAGAAGGAATATTTGATGAAACTAAGAATAAAACAAAGTCAAAGTAAATGAAAGTATTAATTTTACTTTCAAAATGTAACTGGATATCCAACAAACTGGTCTAATTTTATACTGTCTTTAACGTTATGCTTTAAGTAGGATACTTAATTCTTCAACAATGAAGAGAACTCACATCGGCCTGCAGAGTTCAGTGTTTAAATTTTTATAAAATTGTTAAAAAGTTATATATAGTTTTTCTTTCTTTACATGAATCTAGTCTTTTCTTTTGTAATAAAATGTAAAAATATCAATAAATGTTAATAATAGTTAGACATTTTTTGTTTTATAATATCACCCCCCC